CGGCCAATTACGGAGAACAATTACGAGTGCCGCGTCGCTTGGGTTCACCGAGCGTATGATGTTTCTGCAATTTCAGAAGCGAAAAGCCTCGGGGCCAAAAGTTAAGTACGCCTTTAATTGCTCCAAAACTGTCGTCGGCGCGCTTTAACAAGAAAAAAATAATTCCTTCTTCTTATCGACGTAAAAGAGCTTTATGACGCTGGCGCAATTATGTGCTATTTGCTATCGCGTCCAATGCTGATGCATGTGCGATATGAGCAGTGAACTTGAAGTGAATAAGGTCATGTGCAACTAGTGCAGGTTTTTCATCTCGCGGCGAGCCTGCTGCTCTCTGAGAAACGACGTTCGGTCGGCTGGTTGAGATGGAGAGTGAGAGAGAAGATGAGAGAGGCCAATGCTCTGCTCAACCACATGCAAAACATAAAATTTTAGAGTGGTGGTGGTGAAGATTACTCATCCAAAAGCTGCCTGCGAATGTAAACGAAGCACTAACACGCCCAACTAAACAAACGGGTTAAAATATCATACAAACCCAGACTGGTAGAAGATTTGTTTATGAATAATATAAAAAGGTGCTTATTAGTAATTGTTTTTCATTAAGTATTATCAAACTTTACGAAAGTAACTGCGGTCTAAAAGGAATGGAAAAATATAGTTATTCACCTACGCTACACTTTCATAAGATTTGTCCAAATTTTTACTGAAAATAAACTAAAAGTTCTTGGAAATCTATTTATTTAAAACTTAAATATGGACATAACTTACATAAGGTTGAAAAAAAATATTAATTTTCTTTCAGCTTTTATTGTTTCACTTAATTTTAATTAATTTAATTTGAGCTTCAAATCTTTGGGAAAATAAAATTGCGCCTAAACAGGTGATACTTTTGACGACAAGATCAGATATTAATTAATAATGATTAAATAAAAATAATAAACAGCTAAAACAGCTTGCGTAAAAATAAATTTATATCCTTATAGCTTACTATTGATAGTCTGTAGCTAATTCACTAGCTTGTGAAATTAACTTTACATTGGAGTCGGTCACCTTACTATTCCCGGAAAAATTCAAACATGGGAACCGCACCACAAAGACAAACATCAATTTCAAGAGTGAATCTAACCTGAAGATTTTTATGCATTAAAAATTTTCAACTCTCTTGTCATAATTAATTAATTAATAAAACGGTTCTTATAATGTTGTTGTAAAATGTCATGAAAATATTACAATTCACTTAAAATGTTTTATTTTTGCTCATTTGTGCAAGCCCTTGACACTTCATAAGTATGTCGTTAAATACTTAATGAGCGTAATTGTTTACAAATTACAAAACTGGTGTAGTTAATCTTATCATTTCAACAAATCTAGTATCCAAAATAAACATTATAAACACTGAACACGTTAATAAAAAAGCCGCATTGGAAATTTTCACGCAGCGGAAGGGTGTTTTTGCCGATAGAGCGATTTCGCCTGCGATTAGAATGCGTGATACATTATTCAGAATCGTTTTTGGCCGACCCGGCCAATTATTTATGCGTAACCCCGCACCCCGTTTGGTTTTTAACCCGCATACAAATTCACAAGTTGGTGCACGCGATTCGGCAATCAAAAACGAATCTGCGCTGCACAAAAGCGAAAATTTATTTCGCCGGCAGTATTAATTTCACAAAACGCCGCGTAAGGAATAAATTCGCGCAGTGTTCTCTTCGGGAAAATATTATATGGCGCAGTGGGTAATGCATTAAAAATTCCGCCTGAGCCCCGACGCGACTCTCGCTCGCGTACACTGCAGGCCACTTTTTTCGCCAAGAGCAGGAGAAATAAAAATTCCCCGCAGAAGAAGACAAAGTGTCGCAAGGGATTTGGCGCGCGCGCTTTTGAGAAATTACTTTTTATTTATATTTCCATGTTGCGGCAGGTGCGGCATTTTTATTGGACAGCCGAGTCTCTCGTCCGCGTTTTGGTTTCTCGCCACGCAAAGGCTCTTTCTCTCGAGGAAAATGATTCATGTTATTTCACTCGACAATTGCGTGCAGTGCCATGATTTTAATTGTGCAATCCGTCATAGAGCTGCTCTCACCCAGCGCGAAATTAAATCACGACAATGTCTTCTACGCACGCTGCTCTTGAAATCGCGAATTGCCCTAGAAAAAAATCAGTCTTGCTTTTACATAGCAGAAAACCAGAGAGCTTAGCCTGACGTTGGACAAAAAAATTATCCAACTTATGTTTTTCACAGTATAATTACTGGCGAAGGACTAAATGTTGCCAAATCCTAGATCTGAAAACAGGATTTTCAAATATGACGTAATTTGCAGGTTGAATTTTGGTATAAAATGTTGCGTGCAAAACCCAAATCAAAATTTTAAACAAAAAAACTCCATGTAAACTAAACAAACAATTTAAATTTGATTGCCACGTTTAAATTGTTAATGAACTGAAATCTACCAAATAAAATTTATCTAGCTTCTTGCTTAAGTTAATTAAGGTTTGGATTATTTATATTAATTAACTATTAATTTGGCCAAAGTGAAAATGAAAAAAAAATTCATATTTTTTGTATCTTTATTGCAAAACATTGTATTTGTATTTGAAACTAGAATATAGAAGATACCGTTCAAATGAGAATCTATTTTACAAGTTAAAGGACTTTGATCCCAGCTTTGTTGTACCTCTTTTCCTGTTTTGAAATCATATTTATCGCCCTCTGTTTACAAACAATACAAATTCAATTATTAAAACAGTATTCTTTCTATATTGTTTCAATCCAAGTTCACCTTCCATTATGTGTCTCCTTCATATCCGTACTTTGACCTTGAGGGACGACAAAATCAGACAAAACATATCACGCAATGTACATTATTAAAAAAAATATTACTGCCTCCACATATCGTGAACTCGTCGGCAACTCCTCTGACTCACAAGACATGTAGCGGTTAAACGCAAACTCTTGCGCCGAGCAGAATTTGTATACAGAGGATGCTCGTGTGTGAGAATTGCGTCTCAAAAACGGCGAGCAAAAATTAGTCGGCGTGTGTTGGTGAGCAGGATAAATAATTGAAACGAAAGCGTAGGACGATATAAGGAAGCGAGGAGAAATTGACGAGACGCGCGTGTTCGCAAAAGTGTTCCATTTACTTTTACCAGACTGTCGCTTTTGCTTATACTTGTGTGATTTGCAACTCCCACGCGGCGTCGCCAGGGAGCTGCTCCGCGTTATGTCAGAGCAGTTTTAGAAAATATGAATTGACATTATCGACACGTTCGCAGTGAAAGTAATTATTTGGCACTGGTTCGCCGTGTTATGTGATGTCAGTTGAGAAAGTGACAACAACACAAATGTATCTAAGAAAAAAAAAAGATCGAACCTGAATTATTTGATAAATAAAAATTGAGGGCTGATTTATGGTGAAATTTGTGAAATGAATTTTTAAGTCGGCTTTCATCGATGATTTTATTTTGGTTGATTATTATTTTATAAGAAAGCAATAACCTAATCTATTTTTTACATGCAGCAACCATAATTAACATAAATAATTACATAAAAAGGTGTGTATTTAAATTTGTAAATTTTGGTTTCTTTCATTTATTAATTATTTTCAAACCAAATACGTATTTTTTTAAATTAATATTTTCTTTGTTGACTTAATTATGATGTAATTATTATCAAATAAATTTAACTTAACTTCCTTGCCTCTTGAAATGTTAGATACAATTTATTATTCTTTTTTTTAAACTTTCACAAAAATTTTGATTCTAAATTTGAAAGTTAAAAAAAATTACTTCAATTCAAATGGTGCACTGTGAATTGTTAATGTAAGAAAGCATTTGTAATTTTAAAATTTTTGCACAATTTTGCGTGCATGGGATTTTTCTCTGCTTGGCGTAAAGATAGGAGAATTTTGCCAGGCGCAAAAGTGGATTATTATCTGTGTGCAGTCGACCTTATGCAAGACTTAAGTCGCGATGTCGATGCCAGGGCAAACAGGAAGACCGCATAAGCGCAGGTGCAGTACTGCTGATTAGAGCCTCACTGCGTAAATACAAATTGCCTAGGCGTGCATTATTAGTTCCATAAAGCCGCATGCATGTCCGCAACATGCTCCATAATCGTATCTGGAGACGGAGAGACGCGCCTGTTGACACACGGCCAGCCGAATCTTATCGTTTTACAAATGTTTGGATAGAAATTTCTCTTTTGGAAGCACGCTTGAATTGTTATTTTATATCGCTGCTTTACACTTTTAAACGAACACAAAACGTGAGAGGTGCGAAGATTGTGTGAGCAGCAGTTTCACGTGCTTCTGCAGAGCAGTAATAAAACCGAAAATTCACGTCTCTCCGAGCGATTCGTGCAGTCACGAAAGCGCGGCGAAAATGGAATATAAAATTAAATTGAACCTTTTCGTGTAATCCATTATGGTAAAGTAACTTCTCCTTCCTAGTATATTCCTGGTCGCATGAATATTATTATAATAAAATATAAAATATTTTAGTAAAATATAATTCGCTTTTTGACAGAGGCAGAATTGTGTTGACGACAAATGAAAATTTGTCTTGTTTCTCGTTGTCTCACTCCAAAATCTTGAAATTAATGAAAAAAAATTTTAAGTATAATATGCAAGTTGTAGTGGAAATGAACTGGCTCTTCGTTCAATTATTTTTTTACTCATGTTTTGGCCAAAAATAGTTTAGCTATTTTTTAACAATTGTTTTTTTTAACACATCAGAGCCACTTAATAAATGTCCACTATTTTAAATTTGGTAATTTACAAATCTAGTTTTTCCCACAAAAAAACGGAGTTGTGTAGACGATGAATAATCTTGCTTGTCACTCGGCGCCTCTCTCCAACTCGCGTTCTCAATGATATCAAGCCACGCGTATGCGGAGAGTCGGGGGATAGTTGATGGCCAAGTCAGTCAGTCGGCTTGCGATCTTGCTAGACACTGAACCATAATGAACTTCGTCGTCAGTGATTTGTGGTGTGGTGTTTTTGCAGACTGACCGAGGGCCGCCATGAGCACCAAGGGCCACTCCAGAGGCCACGGCCATCGGCGGCAGGAGTCAAATGTGTCCATGTACGCCATGACTGGTCTGTACTCGGCCAGCGATGACGACGACCATTTGGACAGAAAGAAGCCCAGCCAAAGCCTCGGTGACCTCACGTGGCTCCCACCTGCCTCGCCCCCGGTTCACACAGTGGAAAAGTAAGTTTTTAAGTTATACTCGTTTCAATACGACCTCAATTTAAGATTAATAAGGAGTTAATTTTAGTGTAAATTTTTTTTCAATATATATTAAATTTTTACTTTTCGGCAAAATAATTTAACAAAATGCAATATATATTAATTTAGAAACGGCATACAAACCTCATACAAACTAATTTTTTTTATAAACATAAAATTTTGATGCAATTAATATGTATTTACTTCATCTAATTTATCTTCCAACTTTTTTAAATAAAAATATTTAATTATTCAAAACTTTGTATTTGAAAATTTAAATTTTGCAGGTAAATTTTATATGAAAAAATTTTTATGTTATATTAGCTTTTATTTCTATAATAAACTGAAATTTTATAATCTGCGGTTTTGCTCTGATTTTAGAGTAAAAGAAAAGATTTCATTAATTAATTGGAATTTGCAATTTATTTATTTGAAACATCATCCCTGTGCTATAAGTTTTAACAGCAACTTCAATTCATATTAAACAAATTTTATACAACGTGAATCTATAGTGAAGTGAACACTGCTGAGAAGGAATGTGTTTTTAATGTCCTCTCACACAATTATCACATGAGAAAATCTCCATTTCACGCATTATCATGTGCAACACTATGAACATTTTTGATATTCTGAAACGCAAACTAACAGTACACCTCTGATTATCACGTTTCCAGAGAGAGGCACTTGCCCGCGAGTCCACCAGTTCCTGCCATTGTGGTGCCACCCCTTCCGCCTCCCACTGAGTTCAAAGACTGCGGCCTTTTGTCCTGCCGACCATCAGGCCTTCAGCGTTTTGCGAATATCAAGGTAAATTTTTTTATTAGGCAGTCAGTCACGCGATTGATTCCAATTTTCCGCTTTTAATTCCACTCATTAACATAGTCACAATCGAGTGGCCGCATCAAAGTGGCAAACCGAGTGGAAATAAATTCACCCATTGGGGACGATTAGCCAGAAGCCGAATTGGTTCCATTTGACAAGAGCGGTAGTTGAGTCGGCAATAATTTAACGCCTCGTCAATGAAATCGATGCCGATCAATTGGAAATTTCGATTCAAGCGCATTCCACGACGGTTGATATGCAACCGCGCGTATCTGAGTGACGGCCAGGTTGCCTACTGTATTTTTTAGCAGGCGCTTGTTACGATAACGAGTTGAAAGTAGCGATGGCCCGTGCGATCGATTTTGTTTTCAATTTTCTCTGCACCGTTATCTTGAGATAGAGACGCAAATGGCCAATGGTTTATTTATGAACTTGCATGAAGAGCCCGGCCTTTCACAGACAGAATACAGTATGTGAAAATGGCATGCTATTTTTCCTTTTTCTTATCCGTACATCAAAATACACGCTGGGCTACGGTGGCTTCAAAAATGTGGGCGAAAATTTATAAAGGAAATTTGACACGTGGAGCGCTGCAATTCATATTTTTTTAAAGTTACCTTAATTTTGTTTTATAAATATGAATGAGACTATAAGAATCTCCAGCACTGTTTCCTAATTTATTGTTTTCAAATTTAATGAGTGAGTTAATTAATTTAAATTTGATTCAAAGTGCAATCTTCAATATTTATAATAATTAGACCTTATTAAAAAAAAATAAACACCAAGCAATGAAAATAAAATTTACTTTCTAGGTTTTTGTCCTTCTGCTGTCCGTGCTTGTGACCCTCCAGCAGGCGTTGGCCTCAGGCTACATAAGCTCCGTGATCACCACAATTGAGAAGCGATTTGAAATCCCATCCAGCCACTCGGGCCTGGTTGCCTCCTCCTATGAAATAGGCAACGTCTTCACAGTGATTTTTGTTAGCTATCTGGGCAGTCGAAAGCACATCCCGATCTGGATCGCCATAGGTATAAAAAGCGCGGCGAGGAATTGCTATCACGTATCTTATTTTGCCATTATACATTTTTATTAGGCTCTCTGGTCATGGGGGTTGGCTCCATGGTATTCATGGTGCCACACTTTTACGCTGAACCGCATCTAAACGACGCAGGCATGGGGTCAAGCAACTCGTCGGAAAACATCTGCCAAAGGGTGTCTGTCCGCGAGCAAGACATGGGACTTGGAGTCCTTTCCTCAGGTAAGTCAAACTTTTAGTTATCGTTAAAATAATAAAATAGCAGTGATGATGACATAGATTTAAAATTATTTAAATAGCAAAAGATAAGTGAACAAGTTATTTTTTTCTTCAAATAAATAAATCAAATAAAAGACGTTCTCAATTAAATTGTTTTTTTATTTATTATGATTTTTTTTTTGAAATGTCGTAAATGAAATTATAAAAAATATTATATTTAAATGTTAAATATTTTTAAGTATATTTTATATATTTTTTGCAGCGGGTTTGTCATCTCCTCCTTTGTCCCCTGGCAACAACCTGCGCTCCAGAGCAGACAACTGCATCATGTCCACCCCCTCAACCACTGGACCTGTTTTACTTTTCCTCTTGGCCCAGTTTCTGCTCGGCTGCGGTGGCTCACCCTTATTCACTTTGGGTACAACCTATATCGATGACCACGTCCATCCTGAGAGTTCCGCCATCTATATTGGAATAATGTACAGCATGGCCGCATTCGGACCTGTCTGTGGCTTCCTCCTAGGGGCCTATCTCCTCTCCTTTCACATGGACTCGCTGTCCAGCGTACCAGTGCTCATAGGTACTTTTCACGGAGAACAAAATTTTTAAAAGAAATTATTATTATTTTTTAATTTGCAGATCCCGGGGACAGACGATTTGTGGGAATGTGGTGGGGTGGATTTTTCTTGTGTGGCGTCATGTTGCTGGCGCTCTCATTCCCTTTCTTGCTTTTCCCCAAAACCTTGCAGCGTGAAAAGGAAAGGGTCAGACTTCAGCGCAAAACTGAGGCAGCCATCACGGCTGGCGAGGAAAAAGTCAACTTGGTCAGCAATGGGGACATTGGAGCTGGGCCTCGAAATAGTATTTGTGCTGCTGTTGAGCCAATGGATAAAAAGAAGGCTAAGGAATCGGCTTGCTGCTTTAAAGCAATGGGTAAGTTAAAATTTAACCAGGAAATTTAATATAAAATTATGAAAATTTATTATTTCTTATTAAAATTTGGCAAAATCTGGGTTTTTTCGGTAATTTTTTTTTTCATATAAAAAAACTTGCATTTTATGATATTTTATTTACCTGTTGTACATATATTATATCACTTGCTTGTGACTGTGAAATCAATAATTAATTTGTGTTCGCAGAATTTGTGCTAGCGGTGAAGAGATTGCTGTGTAACCCGATCTACATAGTAACATGCTTAGGCGCATGCATGGAGCTGGCCATTGTGTCTGGATTTGTGGTTTACCTTCCCAAATACCTCGAGACCCAATTCAGCTTGGGCAAGAGCCAAGCCAGCGTATTCACAGGTATGCAAACGGTTTGCTTGCGCGTTTTGTGGCATTAATGCGTGATTATATTATTCTCTGCCGGATTTAGGGGGCATTGCGGTACCAGGCGCCTGCATTGGCATCTTCATGGGTGGTTGTGTGCTGAAGAGGCTGCAGCTCAAGCCCAAGGGACTGGTCCAATTTGTGTTGTGCTCGAACATTGTGTGCTTGTCGCTTTACGCCCTGCTTTTCTTCTTAGGCTGTGATAATGTGAAAATGGCCGGCACAACAATGCCTTATTTTAACAGGTAATAAAATAATCTGAAAATTATCAAAAATTTAACATTTATTTAAAATAAATTAAATTGTATTTTTTGTTTTTTAATAAAATGCAATATTTAATTGGGAAAAATAATTGCAGCTCTAAAACGGAGCCCTTCCAAGTGAATCTGACCGCGTCTTGCAACTTTGGCTGCGAGTGTCCGACTTCGGACGTGGAACCAGTGTGCGGCAACAATGGACTCACTTACTTCAGCCCCTGTCACGCAGGCTGTACAGCTTTCTCGTCGCGCTCAAATTACACAAACTGCGCCTGTGAGTAGATTTTTATACTTTTGCCCCAGCTGTGATATAAAAGATTTTTTCGCCAATCATAAAAAGCTCTCAAGCTACAAAGCACCATTAGTGCTGTTAACGAGCATGAAACTCATACAAGCATCTGTGTCGCAGGCATCTTGGGAAACATGAGCGGCATCATTACGTCCAACTCTGCCCAATTTGCCGAGGTCACCATGGTGCCAGTGGCCACCGCAGGGCCGTGCAATTCGCCCTGCCAAACCATCTTTCCCTTTTTGATTCTGCTGTTCTTCATGACCTTCCTTGTTGCACTCACGCAAATGCCATTGCTCATGATTGTGCTCAGGTTTGAATTGTTTCTTTTTCAAACTATTATTAAATGGAAAAGTTTGAAATATACAACTCGCTAACACAGAAAGAAAATATAATCTTTATTTATTCCTATTACGCCAGACAAGGGAACATTCAGGTCAACTATATTCATAATAATTATGAGCAAATATTATTTACTGTATTATTTTTGGATGACAGTCGACCTGAATTCTGAATTTATTATTTAATTTATTTAGTTTTACTATTGAATTTTCTGTGATGAGCAAATTTGACTTTTCTAAAAATAAATTTGTTACATAAATATTTTCAATTTAGGTCAGTTAAAGAAGAAGAAAGAGCCTTCGCTCTTGGCGTCCAGTTTGTAATCTTCCGAATATTTGGCTACATCCCGGCGCCCATCCTATTTGGCAACCTGATTGACTCCACTTGCCTCCTGTGGAAGAACACTTGTGGAGAAAAGGGTGGTCGATGCCTGTTGTACGACATTGAAATGTTTAGATTCAAGTAAGTCATCCAAGAATATTTTTTATCGATGCTTTGATAAATTTGTTTCCTCGTAAAGGTATGTTGGAATTTGCGCAATCATCAAGGTAGCAGCCCTGGTCCTTTTCCTCATTGACTGGCATCTGGTCAGAAAGAAGCAATCCCTGGACAAACAAGGTGCACCGATTGGAATTGGGGAGATCATTGGATCTATTGTCAGCATTGATAAGTGTTAGTGCATTCTTTGAATATGTTTTAGTTTTTTTTTTAATTGTTAAATTTAATTTTCAGTGTTCGATGAGAGGAGGGGCAGCACAATTAACGGAGAGGCTCCAATGCTGCAGCGGCCGCGCAGCCCATCGTCTGTTCGTGAGCTCCGAGTGGACCCTGAAGAGGTGGAGCCCTGCTTGAAACAGTAAAACTCAAAATGGAACTGAATAAGGAGAAAGCGGGTCGAAGAAAATAATTTAAATTGAAAATGTCTTTAAATGGGTTACATACGACGCTACAATCAATCAATAATCCAAATTCAACAGGGTAGACAACACAAAACGGTCAATTTCAGTGTGTCTATGCAAAGGACATATGATCAAGTGAGAAAATTTTGAATCAATTCCGAGTCGATGCAGGTAATCCAGAAAAGTGAGAGTTAAATTAAAACTTCTACTGCTGTCAACCACCCACGGTTACAGTCCAGACCAATTTAATTAAGCGAGAAGAAACGCAAATGTTTAACGCCCAATTGAATACCAATGAAATTTGTAAAAATCCATTTTTGAGAAAAGCTTGATCTGGACTGAATTGACAAATCCAACAATAATTTACACGTAGAAACGCTTTGGAAAATGTAGCGGTTTGAACAAAAGCAAAAAATGTATAAACAAATGTACTGCAAGTTATTTGTGCAAAATAGCGGCTAAGTCCTAAATTTGCTGAATGCAGGCCTTTTTAATTTTGATGCTCTGTGATATTAGACTTTCTTTGGTCGGCTTTTAGTTTTAGCAACTTATGTAATGGAAGTTTTATCCTGGAAATTCCATTTTGTCACCACACTCGGAAATCTCAAGCGTTTGGGGATTTTTTCCTTGGATTTATTTTTGTAAATCGCAACCATTCTGAACAAACACGCAGAAAGCAAACTTAAGTGTCCGCCTTACAGAAGAACAAATAACAAAAACAAAAGGGTTGAAAACTGCTGTCTTTCACCACAAACTTCATTTCCTTTAACAGACCTTTCCTTTCAGAGTCTTTTGATCTCCCTTTTCATTTCAACTAACGGTTTTTGTGATCGATTTTACTGGAATCGTTTAAAGACGAGTATGCATTTTGGGCTTTGTGCAATGCAATATAATGTAACCGTTGTTTGATTAATTTATTGCCAAAACTCCCCTGAACTAGTGATTCCCAGCGTAGAGTTAAGATCCATCTCATTACGACGTATTGTATTATTCTAGTGTAGCGCATTCTCATTATTCCTTGTATTATTGCCACTACTCTTGTAAATCTCGTGTTAGTGAAAGCGAATCTTGCAGCTTATTGGTTTTCTCTTTAAATCTCTAACTTGCTATACTGTGTATATTTCGTAAATTCTTGAGTCGAGCCAATCAGTAGTCTTTAAAGAAGTGATGCAAGAGTTAAACCTTAGTGTCTAGATGTACCGACTACTTCAAAGTTAAAAGATTTAAAATCAGATTTTACGATGAACCGCTATTGATAGTGATGTATGATGAAATTGGGAAATTTAGCTGTGATAGACAAAATTACTTTGAAATTTGAGAGGACGCATACATCCATTTAAAATTGTAATGACCTTGTTATTGCCAGTCATAATTTTATCATTATTACCAACATTAATGAGAGTAAAATAAAGAGCATATCACTATTCAGTAAATTTTCATGTTTAATTTCTCAACCTCTGAATTATATAATAACTCATTAATTTGTAACGTATATTCTGACTATTTATCCTACAAGGGACAGACTTTCCAGTTCGGTCACCAGGTCCATGTGTCTGAATGCCGTAGGGTTGTTCGTGAAGGTCTCAAGCAATTTCTTTTTGCTCTCGGAAGGCTGCCCATAGTAAAGTTGAACTTGGTTGGCCAAACATTGAGCTTCCGATGCATTCTGATTATAATTAAAGGATCAAAAATAGTTCCAATAAATAAGACAAAACTCATACCAGAATATTATTGTCGTACTCGCCACGCATCAAGACAATTCCTTTTGATTCCATCAAGTCTGTGTAATGAATCAGCGTCAAGCACTCAGGCGAGTTTTCTTTGTGAGTCTGTAATTTTTTCATTTAAAATATCTTAACAGCAGGAGAAAAATATATACTCTTGCCTGGTAGTTAATAAGGGTAGTGAAGTGAATTTCGTTTCCGGAAAACTGCGTAACGATGAACTCGTAACCATTACTTCTGGGCAGAGGAAATAAAAACTATAAGTAAGAATTCTCCAGTTAGAATTATTATAAGGTTTTTAGGTAAAAAAATACTAACCAAAGGATGCTTCTTGCCGTTTTCTAAAATTTCTTTGAAGCTTGCTGGTGGTATGACTGCAGCTACTGCATCTTTTATGCCGTAGTACTGTTGCCAGATCTATAAAACAACAAATAATTATAAAATAAAACTGATTTTCTCACAAATTATTGTTCAATAAAAAAAGGTTTTCTGAGGTGTACCTTTTTTATTTCATCCGCGCTCTTTCCTTCAATCAGTTCAGTCTTCATGACTTCGGACAGCGCCTTGCAATTAAATAGAACGTTAGAAATAATTATTTTGCTCCAATGAAATAAAACTACTTTTGGTTTAGACTGCAGGAGAGTGTCTGTTTGCAGCTTTGAACCCGAGCTGGCTGCAGTTGAGCATTTCCTTGATTCCTCTTCCTCCTTCTTTTTCTTCATCTTTTCCAAAGCAGTTTCTTCTAGCCTTGCGACAAATTCCTCAGGCGAAGTTCTATTAAATTAAAATCAAAATCAGAAACAATTTATTAAGTGTTTTCCGTAATTTTCAAGATAACCAACAGTAATGAAAATACAAATACTCGACTTACTCTTGAAGAACGGCGATTTTCTTGGCGTACTTATCAAAGTACGGATTTGTTTGCAAATTTTCCAAAGCCTTCTCGGCTAGCCTTGAAGTGGACATGATGTTGCGACTCAAAATTAGGTTGTTTTGGTAGAAAATTGCCTTCCCAACTGGCAAAAGAACTCGCCGTAAGCAGTTCATCAAACTAGAATTTGAATTTTTTTAATATTATATTTAGACAATCGACGGAATTTATGTCAAAGTTTATAGAGAAAATATTAATTTGGATTACCTTTAAATAATATGCCTGCAATTGTGGCCCCAAACCGAAAATATTTAGGTTTTTCGGCAATTCTGCCCACAGAGCGAAAATCAGATGGCCAAAACGTAAACACATGGAAAGAGCTCAGCTGCGATTGGCTACTGTGCAGACGATCCACCAATGAGAAGAAGGAGAGCAAATGCATGTGAAATACTTGATCCCACGTTATTCCCGCAGCAGCCGCGAAGATCACACATAATTAATGAAAAAAGTAAGTATGATATTATGCTTATTAATTGTCGGAGACAAGGAATAGTTCAGGCTTTAGGAAATAAAGTTTACATGGATCTCATTTGCATCGGAAAATAATTAAACTGTTAAACGATCAGATTAATTTTTTAATTTTGGAATTTAAAAAGATACATTATTCATATTTCATGCATTTCCCAAGGTTTGCGTATGATTATTTAAGAGCTGGAATGATCATACAATATTCGAACATTTAAAAAAAAAAAAAAACATTTTTAATTTAAATCATTTTCTGTTATTTACAAAAAAAAATATGATAGTTATGTATCTCAATAAAATGACAAAGAATCAACATTTATAAAAATTGCCTCAATAAAATATTATTTTTGCCGATTTTTGCAACAAGACATCCATTCAAAGTTCAAAGTGTAAAAAAGTCAAAGTGCGAGTAAAAAACTTTGAAATTTTTTTGATTCAGAAATCAGTTTTATTTCATTAACAGCGGACGTTTCAGAAGAAACCCTTCGCGCGAGGAGTCGAGGATGCCGCATCCCCGCAAAACGTCTGCTGTCGCTTCGGGATTCTGCAAACGCGCGTCCAGCAGCATTTTGGATAATCTTCCATCAGAACTGGCCGTTCTTTATATGAATCCTCATCATTTTCCTCGTTAGCAATGTCAGTTGCGTTACCTCCTTTTTATTGTGTACACCATAACCTCTAGAGATGTGGGATGTTCCACATTTACGTATTCGCTAAATTAAATAATATAGATTATATTCATTTGGGGAAATTAACCAATTATTTTGAGGATGATTAATTTTGAAAACTTGAAAAATATAGCATTGAGAAACAAAATCTGCCGTAGGATAAAAAAGTGCCTTTTCTAACTAACTCCATAAATCTATTTTTGACAAGATCTAGCCTAAAACGGTGCGTGAAAATTATGTGTAATTTCCAGTTTTGAGGCAGTCGATAAACATTTCAGCCGGCCGAGAGGCTATGCAATAATTGGATGTGAAAAAAAAATGCGAACTAAGTTCTGGAATTTTGATCCACGGCAACCTTGCGATATGAATTAAAGAACCTTGCCACGGTTAAATGGACGAGCGATGAATAAGTTTCGTCATTTTAATTCTTTGATGGCGATGTTACGATCCGCGTCCGCCTCCTCTGCTCTAATCAAACAGCATCTCTTCTTGCTTTTAGCACACCACTTTCTCTGCTGCACGCCGCGGCCGACCGCGAATCTATTATAAAAATGAAATTGCTCTCGTCATTGGCAAAGCGGCGGCCGCATTTTCTCTCTCTCGCTCTCAGTCAGTGTTGTATTATTTGTCTACAGTGAGATGCGCTTCAATTACGCCCGATTGTTGTCAGACTGCGGCAGCCGTCACGACCCTGACGTGCCATAAAGTGCCCAAACAACAGTTTTTCAAAGCAAAGCCGAAAGCGCAATATGTTATTAAGCGGCTCTGCGTTTTGTTCGTGTAGCATTTAACACAAACCGACATACAATTAGATTTTTTTACAAATAATATGAAATATTGCAGTTCTATACTATATATTAAATATTTTGCAAAATTTGCAAAAGCCACTTCCTGTAACTTTAATTACTTTTAGAAAAATAAATGTAATTCTTTAATTTCTTTAAGTTTATAAAAATTTATAAAAAAAGTAATTATTTAGGTTTCGTCTCTATTTTAGTGCGTTCACTTATGACTTTAATTAGTAAAGTGTGATTTAGAGGCTAAATAGGCTTAATTATTTCAGAATAAATGAACAATTTAAATTTATTCAAGATGTATTGTGTTAATTAATATATCATAAAATTCATGTACAATCCAAAAAGGCAATATAAAATAGGAGCTATTAAATCACTTTTCGGCCCATGTTCATCAAAAGTTAATTTGTAATCTAAAAAAGTTAATTCAATTATATATTAAATTTAATACATCATTGTAAAACCATAATAAAATTTAAACCTTTAATTTCAAGTCAGAGATCGATTTTTTAAAACAGATTTCTCTGCAGATGTATTCTTTTGCAAATGTTCAAATGCAATTTGTTTTCACTTGATGCAAATCGTTCGTGTTCAATTTGCTAGCCACAAACTTGCATAGAATTCGCAACTGATTTAGCAGCAGCTCAATCATCTTATATGATGAATCAGCAAAGAGCTGAGGCGTGACCTGGCCGTCGAAAACGCCGGCGTCTTCAATTATTTTCTTTCTCCGTTCTGATATGAATAAACTCCCGCGCACATGCATGTATTTCATGCATGAGTAATGAGCAAAAAATAATAATAATACACACACCGCACTCGCTGATCATGCCGCCGTTTTTCATGTGCGTAATTGATTAAGATCGGTCGATCGTTATCTTGGCGTCAATATAGATCAAAGTGATTACGAAATCTGCGGCTGATGAAACTTTTTAACTATGTGCCAATGAGGTGAAATAAATTCTGAATAAGTGACGGGGATGCCCTGCTTGCTGTGCATCAGCGCGTTGAATAATTGGTTATTGATTTCCTTGTTGTATAATCACCATGAAATTATTCTGATCTATGACTATCATTTGAAATTAATTAAATAGTAAACGCTCCATACAATTTATTGCTGAAGTGTAGCTCGTAGCTCGCTTACTCAAACCTACTTAATTTAACGACTATTTTGTTCACGACGCGCAATTAATTTAATAGCGCATTCAATCTGCTTATTTCTATAATTAATTGAATGCACTTTGTAACATCAAAATTAACGTTTAAAATAAAAAAATAAAATAAAAATGACATCCTAGTCCCTGCTGACCGTAACAGTTAAAAATGTTAAAATTGAATCTAAAAAACTTGAAGTTAATATGAGGTAACATAAAAATATTCGATTTTTAACTCTTCCATTCACCAAATTGTAAATTAAAATCATTTTTTTTACATTTAATAATTAATAATGATCTTACATTGCTTCTTGAAGATATGTAGTAAAAATTTTTAGTTAAATATTAATGTTTTTGTGCTTATTGTTAAAGGCGATGTATTCAAGTTAGTGACTGGACTTTAAAATTATGGATTTAATTTGAACATGAATATTAGACTCCATCATTTAATAAATGGATCAAAGGGGCATTTTCAACAAAAATAATTCTCAAATATTTTTTTTATAGCTTCATTTCACCACAGATATTATGGCCTATTTTGTCCTTCAAAAAATTATCCTCGCCAATCTCGTGTGTGTCTCACATGAGGAAAAATTAAATGCATTGTGTCCGTGACCCATGTGGTCGCACACAATAGTTTTGCAAATAGCTTGTTTGTCTAGGCGAATGCATGAAATTGTGAACAATGCATCAATTCGCTTTTGCATCCATCTCCTGTCTTCTCACACAAAACTATAGCTTGTTTTGTAATTGAGAGATAAAAGTAAAAACTATAATAATGAGTCGTTGATGATCCATCCGTTGCGATCCCTTTTAACCTTAAACTTTTTTGGGCTCGGCAAGTTTTGCTCAAGGAAAAATTCCAAACCTCAATTAGGAGAGAGGAAAAGTGCTCGCGCCAAGATATGAAGAAAGATGTCGGCAGATTTATAAACAGCTCATCGTACTTTTTGCTCTACTTTAAATGGCTCCTCTGGCTTTTCATACCGCATCGTGCACCTTTTAATCTCGGTCTTTTATCAGGCTCACGTCATGCGCAATTAGTTAATTTCGCACCATCAGTTGCATAATGCATGACATGGTCAAGCTGCAAAGTCCATTGAATTCTGCACTCGCGCCGCGTTGCTCAAAGGCAAAATCATCTCTCTCTGCATTTGCTCCATATTTTTTCCAAACCAAGGAAGGTTGGATGCGCACCTTACGAAATATATACTTGAAAGGGTCAAAGGAGCCGCTTTCCTCCTTTAAAGTAAACAGCATCTTCATATAATTGGTTCTGCTCTGCTAGCCTTGAAATAATTTATTAGATTAGAAAATTTTATTAAACACAACATGTGTACGACTTAACAGGAGAATAATACATTTTATACAATACAATAAATATTACTTATCTATTATCTATCTTGCGAGCAGTTTCAGACAAACTTAATACATTTTTACGGCATTCACTAAAATGATACAATCCGATTTTTATTCCACATTTTTCACATTCACAGTCACTGTTTATAGTTGTGTGATAATTTTTATTTTTACAAAATATAAAGTGAAACCCATGTACTGCATATCTAGTCATTAAATGTCTATTGTCAAAACACGGTTTTTTCCAGCTTGGATTTGTCATTGCAGGAGTGTCGTAAAATGTAGGATCAATTTCAGAAATTTTGTATAGCTGGTTTTCAATGAATTTAAAGTAACTTTCAGTCTCAGCGAGCTCAAATTTCTTTATTAAATCAGAAACCAAAAAAGTTGAATCCGCCAATTCGTATACCAATCTCGACTTAGTGTATTTCGATACCTGCAAGGCTCTCTTCAGGAACCGAGACTTGGCCGTTTCGAGTTTATTCAAGTCATTTAACGTTAAGTATGGCCAAATTGCCTCGATTCCATAAGTTGCGATTGGTTCAATTGCAAGTTCAAAGAGTTTAAGTGCCGTGGCGAGTGAGGACTTAGGCAGTGCGGAGAAGGCGGCCGAGGCGCAAATTGAAGCCTTTACTCTTTTATTAATATGCTTTGCAAATGAGATACCAGATGATTGAAATGTCACGCCTAGATAACAAAATTCAGGGACAAATTCAATTTCTTGATTTAAAACAACCAGCGAGTCAGATTTTCTTAGCCTACCTTTTCCTTTATTCCGAAATTTGAGAATTTTGCTTTTAGATAAATTCAGTGTCAAATTTTTTAGCTTTAAGCACTCAATTAAATCAAGTAAGGCCAGCTTCAGCTCCTCCAGACTTACAGAGACCATAACTACATCGTCAGCATAGTAAATAATTTTTATATTTG